GTGTGCACTCTCTGATGCACAACAAGGGTGGAGCTCCGAGGGAAGGATTTCCCACACTCTGGGCAGTTATAGGGTCTCTCTCCTGTGTGGACTCTCCGATGAATAATCAGGGATGAGTCATTATTGAAGATTTTTCCGCACTCAGCACATTCATACAGTTTCCCTTTAGTGCAGATTCCTGGCTGGATCATGTCTTCAGGAAGGTCCTTCAAACCAACCCCCTGGTCAGTGGATTTACCCTGTTGTTTCTCCCCTGAAGAGATTCCCTGCTGCACCTCTGGCCTGTGCTGATTTTCGCAGGCTTCTCCCTGCTCAGGACTCCAGGACACATCCCCTTCAGATCTTCCTGATAGTGTTCTCTGTGCTTCCATTTGACCAGGACCTCCCTGCTGAGGATGCTCCTCCTTGTTCTCACTCACCATCCCATCACCTGATGTGACAGAGAGACAATCCAGACAGGAGTCAGTCCCTGCACTGGAAGAAGAGCACAATGAAGCAGAGAAACTCCCAGCTGCCTCAGCAAGGGTTAAAGAAAGTGTTTGAGTTAAACTAGCCCCACTCAACTATACCTGAAAACAATGCCAGGACTGGAGGGAGAATCAAAGAAGGGACCCTGGTTCTGCTCAGGGCTGAAGGGATGGAGCAGTGACCTGCCAGCCAGGGCAGCCACCTGGAAGCCAGAACTTGCTACTCAACCAAGGGGAGACTGCGAATGAACCCCCAGCACCAGAGGTATCAGACTGAGCAGACCCCAGAGACATTGTGGGGCTCATCCTCACCTTGCCTGAAGGGACCTGGGATCACACCAAGGCATTTCCCTAGACCCAAGAGGGAACCTATGGGCAGCAAGCCACTGGCAGATTGTACTAGAGGGGCCATGCCCCCAACTGAATGGACTTGTAGGAAGTAGTCCAGGGCAGTGGGTTCTGACTCACTCCCAGGAGGGACACCAACCCCACCCTGTTCAGGGGTTGAGATACACAGGGCTATGGGCTGGGACCCTGTGGAGAGAGAGGGAGGGCCTGGGTGCCCCTTACCACTCCCCTGGCCTTAAAGACAAAGTACACAGCCCAGTAGGGGACTGAGAGAGAGCCTGGTGATCTAACCACTATGCTGCCTGACCACCCAAGCCCCTGGTACAAATGGGAATCTCAGAAAGTGGAACAGGAAAGGGGGGAACAAATTAAAATATCTGTTGGGATAATTGAAAACTCAATCTAAATCCTTCCTAAAACATTTTTTTTTTTTGGGGGGGGGGGGGGGAAGACC